TTTGCATCGAAAAACTGCATAAAAAGAACAAGCGGAAACATTAGGCGCATGACTTAATCTGCACAGATTCTTTCTACAAGGTTAAATTTATATTTAAAATAGAGACATATTTCCGCGATCTTTCGTGGTTTAGAAGTGATCGGACGCAAGATACCAGAGCCCAAACGACAAGCCTGCGTGAATTACACAACCTCTCACAAAAGCAGACTTCACGATGGCAACTGATAAACAGCACATTCGATGGCACTGCATTTCATGCGAATTCCAACAACAATGAATAAATGCTTCTAGAGCACGGAAGGAATCAATTCGTAGTGATCCTGTTGCCGAAGATGTGTCATACCAAACGCTTTCGAAGTGGTGATATCGATCTTGGCGACCAGCCACGCCCCAGACATCAGACTCGAAGGTTCGGAGACACGCAATTGCAGGCACTGCTGCGTGAGAACTCAACGCAAACGCAACAAGAGTTTGCAGCACCTCAGTTAGGAGTCCCCCGAGCACCTATTTCCGAGTGTCAGCACTAAATGGGACAAATTTAACAACTTGGAAGTTGGATCCGCCTGCATGTGTTGACAGCACACAACCTACGTCAACGCATGAACACACCCCTTTCTCCGCTTGCCCGTCGGCAAAAAGCAATTAGTGGACTTCGTGCGGGCAATTGTGACAGGTTATAGAAAGCAATTTTTTTGTTACGGTAATCCCAAACGTAAAACATTGTGGGTTGATCCCGGGCAACTCAGTATATCGATGCAAAAACAGGACATCCACTTGAAGAAGGTTCTCCTGTGTATCTGGTGTGGGTACGTCAAGGCTGAAATTGGCTTCGAATTCCTGGAAACTGGTCGTCAGACGATGACCGTGAAACGCTATAGCCGACAATTGACCAAACCGAGCAATGAACTTGATGAGGAAAGGCCCTTTACTGGTCAAGGAAGCAGACAAGTCCTACTGCTGCAGTTGCTGCGTGACAGCGCTCGACCACCTCACGTTGCTCACCGCACCCAAAAGATCCTCTTGAACGTGGGATGGGAAGTTCTCCAACACACGGCATATTCACCAGACTTGGCCGCATCCCACTGCCAGTTGCTCCGGTCAATGCAGCAGCAACAGCAGCACGTCTTGGTGGATAAAAAGGTTCCAAAAGGCTGGACGATCTGCGTGAATTCGTCGTCGATGACACAGCCGCCTCGAAGCCTGCAGGTTTCTTTCGCGACGGCATTCGTGGCTTATCTGAGAGACGGCTCAAGGTCAAAGAAGACGATGGGCAATATTTCCAATATTGCCTTCGTTGTTCTCTATTCTTTTAAGTCATGGAATGCAAGAACCAGGCGATGTGGCTAAATAGACACGAGAACAATGTCTTTAAAGCGTTTTGTGTTTGCGCAATTGCCGATTACTTTGTCATTTGAAAAACCTAAGTCACCTCGACGCGAACCTACTTGCCAAGTGACTTTCACAGCGGAATCTGGCGTTACACATTCCACGACTTTCCCTCCCACCAATCACCACGCACCCCTTGACCTCACTAGATCTCGCTTTTACAGTTGGACTCGGAGCACTGGCCAGGGGCTGCCTGGAGGAGCGTTGTGTGCGTGTGCCTCCTCCACGCCGGACTGCGCCTTGAAGTGTGCCGCGAGGAGTCGCCAGCGGGTTCGATGTGCGTTGTCGTGGGGGGGTCGGATTCCGTCTGGCTAACACCGCTCTCCTCCCTCCCCTGGCACCAGCTGAAACGCCTCGCGCCTCCCCGCCTCCTACTGGCCTTCTGGGGTCTCTTCAGTGGTCTGCTGGCGCACCAGTGGTTGTTGAAGCCCGCCAAGGGTCGCCGCTCTGTCGGAGGTCTGGTTGAATTCCTCCTGAAGAATACCACCTTGGCTGTGGGCGGAGGTCTGGTCGTACTCTGGACTCTGGATGGTCTGATTGCTGCTTCTCTCGGCAGCACCGCTATCTCGTCCATCCTGCAACCACGCCTTCTGTATGTCCCGTTTCTTTTCGGCAAATTTCTCGGTGGTTGATGGGCGACATTATTGGTATACTTAGTCAACTGCCAAGTTGTTCAATGTTCTGCCTCTAGTGCTACACTCCGCGTCAACTTGGCGCGTCTACTCATGCTGTCATGTTTCTGTCTTCTGGGCGTACTCGTTCACCGACCCCTTCTCATCGCACCAACGCCGGTCCCTCGTGACGCCGCTCCCCCGCGCGTCTGCAACCATGCCATCGGCGACGCGATCCGCGTTTTCGAGCCAGACGACGTCTACGCCGTGTGGCTCTTTGCGGTGCTTGTGGCGGTTCCGGCGTTGACGCTGCTTGCTCTCCTGGGAGACGTCTACGTGCTGCCCTGTCTGGGACTGTTGGCGTGTTTACTGCTGGCACCGGTTCACGAACTTGCACTGCCACGCGGACGTCGGACAGAAAACGACGCTTGTTGTAGGTTCACGTGTTTTGTCCGGTGTCGTTAGTCCTCCAACAACAGCGATTTCACTCGCCTTCGTGCCTGATTTTCCGCTAGCTGATGTTGATGAGTTGTGAAACGCTTCCACAGATTGATGCAACAGATCTACAAATATCCATGTTCCGGTTTTGGATCACAGAATCACCCCTGATACAATTGTGGTTAATGTTGACGGCTTTCTCTTCTTGCAGTCGTTTTCTTAGAACCCATCTCCAAGATGCAGAATGCTCTCGTCATTATATAATTTTTTTGGTAAAAGATTGTGTCAGTGCAGCTCAATGCCACATACCAATCGCTCACTTACCCATTAAAGCGATTCGACAGTAGAAACATCATATATTACTATGTAGAATTGAGTAATTTAATCTGTGCCCACGAAGCACATTTGAATACTTGCCAAGTGAATGACAAATTCGCATTCATCAGGTTGGATACACCGCGGCAAAGTAGTGTACTGGCGTGTTTAGGATAAGCACTTCAGTCGATTTTTTTGTCTGCATCCTTGTATTTTCGAAGCTAGATGTGTTCTTGAGTTTCGAACATTCGATCAAGGCACTCCAGCACTGTGGTGATCGGTTCGCGGTTGATTAGGAAAGACGCTCAATCCACAAGGCGGGTTAACTGTGCGTGTGGTCAATCAACTACACCTTGTCACGCATTTGATTGGTTGCTCACCTGAGGTGCGGATTTAGCCTAGTCGTGACAGAAGGTGCATTGTTTGCTCTCCTCTCACTCCATCAGCTCAAGTCGCCTCACAGCTCGAGGGTGTTGGGAGTTGGCCCTCGGCCATCTACGCGTGCCTACTGGGCCAATTCGGTTTCTTCTGCTTCGGTCATCAGACCACGTTTCCAGCGATTCCGTGGAGCGCCGCCTTCGCCGTGTTCCAGGGCGACCACGGCACCACTCTGCTGCCAGCCGGCCTCGTCCTCGCGCACACCTTCACCGCGCAGATCCTCCTCACGGCCGCCTTGCCCCTCCTTCTCATCGTCTGCGTCCTCCGGCGAACCAGCCCGACCACCAAGTCGACGGAGCCGGTGCTATTTCGATCGCAGCAGGGTCCAATGGTGCTGCGGACTACCCTCGATCGACTGCTTCGACGATACTGCATCGCTCATTTCCTCCTGGTGAGGAGTGTTAGAGGTGCCATCTTGAAGACCCTGTTAAAGGCCCTGTCACGTTGTCTTGGCTGTGAAACACCAGTTAGTTGTGGGCCCCAGCATGTGGCCTTGAACCACGCCGGGGCCACGGAATTAACCCTGGCCCGATTACGTTTCCCTGATACCGGCGATGAAGCAAAAGACCAGAGAGGACGTGGACATAATCGTTTACTTCAAAGCTCAACCTCGTTGGTGTTGTGTCGTGGGGTTTGCGCGTGTGTATTTATACCTCGGGTGTGTGAGTCATATATGCGCTAACATCGAGACCTAGGTGTGAGGATAATCCAAGATATATATCCGTGTGAATGAGGGAGGAGTTGAGGATCCGCGTGGCTGGCGACATGCTGCGACAAGGGGAACCCTGTGTGGGAGGTGGAGCGACCGGATTAAGGGGGTGTGAATAAACACGATTCACAACAAGTTCATAAGATCGCTCGTCCTCACTGTGCTCTTGTCGGTGTGTGTGTGTGAGTGCTTGTGTACGAGAGTGGATGAACAGGGTATGCTAAAAGGGACGAAACCGTGTTCCAGAGCGACCACGGCACCAACCAGCCCATCCAGTCGCTATTTCGACGGAGCTGGTGGTCTTGACATTGCAAAAGGGTCCAATGATGCTATGGACAGCTTTCGATCGACTGATTCGGCGATACTGCATCGCTCATTTCCTCCTGGCGAGGAGCGTTATAGTTGCCATCTTGAAGGCCCTGATAAAGGCCCTGGCACGTGGTCTCGAACCACAACGGAAGTGGTGGTGGTGGTGGTGACACAACCGTTCATCAGATCGCTCGTCCTCACTGTGCTCTTGTCGGTGTGTGTGTGTGTGTGTGCGTGTACGAGAGTGGATGAACAGGGTCTGTTAAAAGTAGAGGTGAACATGAGAAATTTCAGCCTGCTGCAGGATTAACAAAACCAGCAAGTATTTTGGGTGAACTATAAAGAAAGTGGATCTGCAGCAAAGGCAAGACAAAGCGCACATCTTGCCACTTGAAATTAAGTCAAATTTTGCCCCACCAATTTGATGCTTCGTAGGTGAACCTCAGTTGTACCACTGGCTCGATTTGTGCGTGTGTGTGTTTGAGGATTCCCAATGGTAGATGAAAAGGATACTCTGTTGGATGGAACAGCGAGGGCGGTAGTTTGCAAATGCTCTTGCCAAGCATTGCATTCGTTATTTCAATTCCGATTCTTACTGATAGCTGCTTACAATTTGCCCAATTTATTGTTTGCCCCGTTTATTGTCGCATTATTCAGTGTTTAGGGTAACACGCGCACTTTGTCGAGCGCCTCATTTCCTCCCGATGAAGCTTGTCGTAGTTGCCATTGGAGGGATTCGTGTTGATTCATGGCCAATAGCCCAGTCCTCGCAGCTTCCAGCACACGTCCCCCCTTTTCACGACCTGCCCGTCAGTCACGTGAGGCCACTGGTTCATTAACCACTCAGCGTGTCCCACCACCACCCGTTTTAGTCATGTGACCTCACAGACACCTGTGTTTATTTTTGTACATGTCCACTGAACCGTAATTGTA